GGAATGAGGAATGTAATGTAAGTAAGTAAGTAAGTAATGGGACTGAGGGGAGGCGAGACAGTTGGACGAGGGATTGGGAATAGTTTTATGGAATAAATTTCTGTCAGTTTAGCATATTAGTTAGGTTTATACATGGTTAGACTCGCTACAGAAAGAAGGCAGGGAATAGCCGAGTGGTTAAGAGGTTAGGACTCATGTCTGCACCTCCAGAAACCGCTAGTTCGATCCCTGCAGAGGTTTACCATGCCTTGCAAAAATTGCAACAATGGTTCTAGTACCAGCGTCAGGCCTAGGTTACCTGGAATACCCAGGAACCCAGAAAATTACCCAGAATTTACCCAGGAACCCCCGCCCGAGTTCTGTGGTCAGTATGCGAGGGCTACCGAGGAGTGAACGGCCTCGGCCAAAGAAGCTAGTTCGAATTGGGACTCTGAACGTAGGATCGCTAACTGGGAAGTCCCGAGAGGTTGCTGATCTGATGACGCGCAGGAATATCCAAGTCCTATGCCTTCAGGAGACGCGATGGAAAGGTGCTAAGGCCAGGGAAATCGGGGAAGGTGTCAAACTCTACTACAATGGGGAAGACACCAAGCGGAACGGTGTGGCCATAGCGGTAGCGGAGTCGCTCAAGGACTATGTCTCCGCTGTGAACAGGATCAGCGATCGGATCATGGCTGTGAGGATAGACACGAAGGAGGGGTACTGGACCATACTCTCCGTGTACGCACCGCAAGCCGGATGCCCCGAAAGTGACAAGGACGAGTTCTATCTCAGCCTTGACGATGCCATCAGAACGATTCCGGAAGGTGACTACCTCACCATAGCAGGTGATCTGAATGGTCACGTAGGCAGTGAAAGAAGAGGCCTGGAAAGGGTGCACGGAGGTAGAGGAATAGGAGTGAGGAACGCCGAGGGAGAGAGGGTCCTGGACCTGGCTACGGCCCACGATCTGGCAATCTGCAGCACGTTCTTCGCAAAAAGAGAAGGTAACCTACAGCAGGAGGGAGACAGACGGAAATCGACCATGTGCTGGTAAGAAGATCAACCCTCAAAACTGTGAAGGATATCAAAGTTCTACCCGGCGAAGATCTGGCTCCCCAGCACAGGCCCCTCCTGGCAGACATTGCGATAGACCTCCCCAAGAAGACAAGGGTAAGAACCGAGAGGAGAATCCGGTGGTGGAAGCTGCACCAAGCGGAGAAGGATGACCTCAGGCGAAAGATAATGGAAGTCGGTCTCCCAGATCCTAAGGGACCAGTGCAGCGGACTTGGGGCACTGCGGCTGAGATCATCCTGCGATGTGCCAAGGAGGTACTGGGAGAGACGCGAGGTGGATTCAGAGGAGACAAGGCAGCGTGGTTCTGGAACGAGGAGGTCCAGCGAGTCGTGAAGCAGAAGAAGGAAGCATACAAGCGCTGGCAGAAGACCCGGAGCCCGAGAGCTCGTCGCTGACTGCAAGAGTTGCAAGAGGCTCGCTAAGGCCGCGGTAGCCAAGGCAATGAACACGGAGATGGACGCCTTGTACGAGAACTTGGAAAGAGAAACGCAGAGAAGTTCGTTTTAAGACTGGCCAAAGCCCGGCATCGGGCTACTCAAGATAGTGGGTGAAAAGCGTGAAGAGCAACAACGGCGCCATACTGAGAAAGCCAGCCCAAGTTCGGAGGAGGTGGGAAGAGTACTTCAGAGGTCTTCTGAACGAGGAGTTCTCCCACGAGAACAACTCACGGGCAGAGGCCACAGCTGGTCCCATCGCACTCTGGACAGAGGATGAGGTTCGGCGTGCACTTGGGAAGATGAAGGGTTGGAAAGGCAGTTGGTCCGGATGGAGTACCCATAGAGGCTTGGAAGGCCCTGGGAGAGCACGGGGTGAGGTGGCTCACCCGCTTCCTGAATACGGTGACTGCCGAAGGAAGGATGCCGGATGCCTGGAACACAATC